TCCGTGGTCCACCTACCCGAAAACAAACAAACAAACTGCTGCGTCAGCTTCCAAGGCAGTTAAAAAAATGCGTATAATTTTCGTTACGAAATTGATATCATAAATTTTGTGTTTCTAGTTCAGCTTTTGTCACTCGAAAATTTTACCTCAAAGAGGTGTTTTATTTGATTATATTGACTTGGAAATTTTAATTAAAAGTCATAACCCCTCCGTTATTCTTTTAAATGAAACCCATCGTGCCCACAATGTCACTCCTCACTTCCCTAAAGCCTATGTTGGTAATTTTTATAACCAGCCACATATTACGTCCAACAAACAGGGTATTGCCATCCTGGTCAAAAGAACCATACCTCACCTATCCTATATCCCCCAATCTAATATTTCCCCCCTTGCCATTGAGCTACAAACTTTCAACAAAATTACAATAGTGTGCGGTTATTCTCCTCCTGATCAATTGATCTCTACAATAGATTTCAACAACATAATTCCTTCTTCCTACCCTTTTATAGTGGCTGGCAACTTTAACGCGGGGAACTCCCTCTGGGGGTCCGTTTCCACAAACTCTAAAGATCGGAAAATTGAAGACTCCATCCTAGTTTCCAACACAGTTATCCTAAACGATGGGCCGCCCACCCATTCATCCTTTACACATATTGATCTTACCCTGTGTTCCGCATCCCTATCTTCCAAAGTGTCATGGCACCACATTGACGATCTTCATGGCAGTGGCCATTTTCCTATCCTCTTCAATATCCAATTTCGCGCTCCCAAACTCTTTTCAAACCCAGGATCTATTTCAAATCTGATCGAGCAGACTGGTGCAAATTTGAGGTGGCCTGCGAAACTTTCTCCCGCTCCTTCACTATTTCATCTAACACCAACCAGGAAACTTCCAATATCCATAAATTATTCGTTCTTCAGCAAACCGATCCATCCTTCTATCTAAAGCTAAACCTTTCAGGCCTTCTCCTTTATGGTGGAGCAGAGAGCTTTCAGCATTAATAGATAACAAGCAGAACGCCTGGCATGACTTTAAGCGCAATCGACGAAGTGCTAAAAATTCTAAACTCCGCAGCTTCCAAAAGTTTACCAGCAGTATTTCTGCTTCATCCGACACAAAAAAGATATGGGCTGACATAAAAAGGCTCACTGGAACTCCTACCCAATCCCCTATCACTTCCCTTAATTCATCCCAAGGCAACCTACTATATCCCCATGATATAGTCTTAGAGTTAGCCACCCACTTCTCCAACGCCTCCTCTGATTCTAGCTTTCCCCCCGAATTTTCTGCTTGCAAACTTTCCCAACTCCATTTTAGCCGTCCCATTTCTCTAAGCTTATCTTCTTCCTCCAAGCAGTTGGATGCCGATTTATCCCTACAGGAACTTCAGTTCGCTCTCTTAACAGTAAAAGTAGTACACCTGGTTTTGATAAAACATCCTATTATAAAACATCTTCCTTTATCGCTTCTATCCCGTCTCCTTAAACATTACAACAACATCTTTTCGACTGGTAATTATCCCATCCTTTGGAAGACTAGTTCCATCATTCCTATCCTAAAACCTGGCAAACCTCGAAGTAAGGTTAGCAGCTACCGTCCTATATCCCTTCTTCCCTGCTTAGGCAAATTAATTGAAAAAATCATTGCTAGTAGACTATCATGGTATGAGCATGTAAATAAGCTGATTCACCATAACCAAGTCGCATTCAAGAAGGGGCAGGGTCCGGTTGATGCCCTCTTACACCTCGATCACTTCGTTTCCGAAGCCTTATCAAAAAAAATCATATTTCACTCCTCTCTTTAGATTTAGAGATAGGTATACAGGTCCTGTCCTCTCGTAAAACTATTGTTATTATTTCTAACGTCCGATCCCCTATGTTTCCTCTAGATAATGGCACCCCGCAAGGTTCACCTCTATCCATTATTCCCTTTACTATAGCATTCGATGAACTTAGTTCCATTTTTACACAGTTTCCCAACGTTTCCCACCAAATGTACGCGGATGATGTACTGCTGTTTTCTAAAACTTCCAACCTAAATGCCGTAATGGCGACCTTTTCACATTTCTTCATGGTCCCTTTCTTCAGGCGCTTCAATTTCTCCCAGCAAAACTAAACTAATGCAGCGTTTTTGCTGCATTTAAAATGCAACATTTAGCACTTTCGAACATATGTTTTCGAAGAGCGTTCATGCTATCGCATTTAGCAAATGTACATTTACGCGAGTTCGAAATAGGGATGGGTAAATTCGATATTCGAAGCTTCGATATTCGAATTTTAGCTCCAAAATGGCGGTTTTTTGAAATCGAACTTTGTATTGTTAAAATTCGGATAAACTCTAATTTTTCTAGAAAAAATCGAATTTTATCTTCATTTCCAAAAAAATCAACTCTTCAACTTTCTTCTTTCTGACTAAATTTGCCATCACTGTGTGTGGCACTGCATTTGTCTGAGGGATGCAAGTAAAAAAATACATGTTTTTCAATCTCATGCATCGGGACAACAAATTTTTGCCAAGAAGGAACTGTTATTCCGAACTCAAATTTAAAATTTTTTTTTTAACTAGTTTTTTTGTAACACAAAATAATGTCAGGAGCAAGTAATAATGTACCTTTGTACTATTTAGCATGTCATTGGTCGGTAACAAGACCAACTTAAATTTAAATCTATTAAATACATTCTAGCGTGTCTCAGTCCCTTACCCACAAAAGCGGCTATAACCTTCTTTTTCTATTCGAAATAGTAAAATGGCACCTTTCTGAAATATTTATTAAATGAGCAATTTTTTTATGTAATGTAAAGTTATAGCTCAGTACATTTTTTTCACCAGACATAATTAAAGTTGGGGAAGAAAATATCAAAAAGTTAAAAATCGCAATATAGTCCTAATTTTATTATGGTTCCTTAATATATTTTAACTACAATGCATTTGAGTATGGAGAAGCAACTATCTGAAAGTATTTTACATAAAAAATTTACTAAGTATAGCCTTTGTTGTAGATGCAGTTAAAGAAAATACATCAAAAGGCACGATTTTTCTTTAATTCAAAAAAATTTAAATATTTCAAAAACGGTGACACTTTTACCTGAAAATTTTTTGTTTATCAGAGAGCTCACCACCCCACCTGCCTTCTCCTTAAGTTTGGCAGGTGACTTCTGGGACAACCTGTATAATTTCAAAATTTTGAAAATTCAGTGAATACGAAAAACTGATAGGCCTACTTAAATAACATAATACTTCGAGCTTAGCACACAGCTAAAATTTCAAACTCAAGTGAAATTTTACACACTTTTTCCATGAATTAAACTTTTCAAAAGCATCCATTCTTTAGGTTTGTTCCCCAAGCTTCTCGAAGTCACTTCGAGTTATATATACGCGCTCCGCAAGTAAGTTTTCGAGTTTCCTTGATATACGCTCACAGTTTCAACTTTGCTCGAGTTTTTCTACAAGTAGCTTGTGGGACAAACCTGTTATATATTCTTGTAATGACATTTCACGATATTCAGTTGAATATTATAAAAATACATGTTACACAGTCTTGGGGGGGCGGGGGTTTCGGGAAATTTCCCCAATTTCCCCTACCTGGGTCCGCCACTGCATATGTACATACATATATGTATGAACACATGTATGCATAATACGCGAAAACTTTTTGAAGTGAAACAACCACTTAGAAAAAGACCAATACAAGAATGAAAGTAAGGGTGAGTACGTACATAGATAAGGAAAAGGATAAAGGCAAAGGTAAATATAAAAACAAAAACAAAGTTGCGTAAAGATAAAGGCAAAAATGAAGACCAAGTTGAATTGATCACTTTACTCATATAAGGGCAAAGATGAAGGGGAATATGTATATGAAGAATATGATAAAAAAAAAAAAAAAAAACAAAGATAAATATAAAGGAAAAGATGAGGATGAGGATACCGATAAGAGTATAGGTGAAGATAGAGGAAGAAAGATTAAAATAAAGGTAGTTGTAGAGAAAAGGATATAGATAGAGGCACAGAGACTCAATCTGGTAACTTTTTCGGGATTTTAGAGATCTTCGGGAATCTCGGGACTTATCGATATAATAATCGATATTTTGTCGGTTCTGTTATCGGTATTTTTATCGATTTTGTTATCGAAATTTTTATCGATAATGTTATTGATTTTGCTATCGATATTTTTGGAACTTATCGATATAATGATCGATATTTTTATCGGTTTTGTTATCGATATTTTTTATCGATTTTGTTATCGATATTTTTACGAATTTTGTTATCGATTTTGTAATCGATTTTGTTATCGACTTTGTTATCGATTTTGTTATCGATATTTTTATCGATTTTGTTATCGATATTGTTATCTCTTTTGTTATCGATATTTTTATCGGTTTTATTATCGATATTTTTATCGGTTATGCTATCGATATTGTCATCGATATTTTAATCGGTTTTGTTATCGATATTTTTATTAATTGTGTTAACGATTTTGCTATCGATACTATTATCGCTTTTGTTATCGATGTTTTTATCAATTTTGTCATCGACATTTTACTGATTTTGCTATCGATATTTTCGGAACTTATCGATATAATGATCGATATTTTTTATAGGTTTTGTTATAGGTTGTTTTATAGGTTGTTTTATTTTGTTATGAATTTTTTATCGATTTTGTTATCGATTTTGCTATCGATTTTGCAATCGATATTATCCATTTCGCTATCGATTTTGTTATCGATATATTTATCGATTTTGTTGTCGATATTTTTATCGATTTTGTCATCAATATTTTTACCGGTTTTGTTACCGATATTTTTATCGATTTTGCTATCGATATTGTTATCTCTTTTGTTATCGATATTTTTATCGGTTTTATTATCGATATTTTTATCGGTTATGCTATCGATATTGTTATCGGTTTTGTTATTGATGTTTTTACCGATCTTGTTATCGATTTTGTAAATGATTTTTTGATAGATTTTGTAATTGATTTTCTTATCGATATTTNTTCAACAGAAAAGGATATTTTAGTATGAATGCGATGCTTGTGAGTAAATTTTACATTTTTGATATTGAAGGTAGTATGCAATTTGAAGCTTTTTGTTAGATTTGTGACAGCAATATGATAATACGTGCGGTTGATTCACGATACCCCGGCGCAAGCCATGATTCTTTCGTATGGAATGTAAGCAATGCGCGGCAATATTTTCTACAGGAATACGAAAATGGAGACCGATCATCAAGACTACTGGGCGATTCCGGATATGGTATAGAACCATTTATGTTAACACCCTATCGGGATCCCCAATATGCATCTCAACAATATAAATTTAATAACGCGCATTCCTCAGCCCGCAACATAATAGAACGAACTATAGGAGTTTTAAAGAGCCGATTTCGTTGCTTGCAAAGGACTTTACACTATCAACCTAAGAAGGTAGTTAAAATTGTAAATGTCTGTTGCGCGCTGCATAACATCTGTCGACAGTATAATGTAGAATGGAATGAAAATGCTAATCTTACTACATCAGAGAATTTTCATGAAGACACTTTTATGCTGCAAACTAGCAATATGCAAAATGAGGGCCGTAGAATAAGGGATGAGATTGCTAATAGTCTTTAAGCAATAATGTCATCACCTACAAGATTATAGTATACTACGGTCTATGTTACATGCAAACTTTGAATTTATTTAGGAAGAAGGGAGAAACAGAGGTATGTATTAATGTATGAATGATATTAAATCAAATAGTTTACTCTCTGTATTTACATATGGACGTGTTTTACGATTTTTTACGCACGTGGTCCAATAAACAACCTATTGAGCAACAGTACCGCTCTATTAAGGTCATATATAAGGGGAATTATGATCAGGATGAGTAGCTGGTTAAATAGGCAAAGAAAACAAAACATAAGGTGCGAATGCGTGACTATTATTCAATGGATACACTTTACATTTGAACCGATGATGCAAAGACGGTCGACGAAAAAGTCTTTGCTTTGGATTTAAAACCTGATGAATTTGTGACAGCCATAGTTAAATAACGTGTCGCTTAAGTCGGAGGTTATGCTTTGCAGGTTGCCAAGTAAAAGGAAATTAATGATGATTATTGAAACATGAAGAAAGTATGAATATTCCCTTTTTGCTTTGAATAATTCTTCTGCAGGTATCATCGGGGCCGTATCTTGCTCCAGTACCAATTTAACAACAGGCACATATCAAGAATGTACTTGAGGATTTTGTTAAATTGGTGATTCCGATACGAAACTATGGCAAGCTGGTGAAAGTGCATACAAAAATGCTGCATTCAAAAGTGCGAATATTCAACTAACGCCAAAGCAGGTGGTCTATGTGAGAATGCCGAGGTTTGCACGGTTAAGTGGCACATAAACGTTTAGATGAATACTATGAGAGTTGTAAGTAATTTACTACCGAATTTTTTTAAGCCTGTTGGGAAAACAATTTTTGCTTTTATTTAGTTAGGTGTTAATTACAAATAAGAGTTTTACATACAGTCACTCACACAAGTATTCGTAATTTAGTTTTTTTCACAATATTCAAAATGTTTTCCTTCATAAATCTTTTTTGTTTTATGTAAAATATAGCTGATTCTATACAAAAAACCATATTAGCCAATCTTGCAAACTTTGTACAAAATTCACAAGTTAATCAAACTTTAAAAAATGTTCATAAAAAT